TCATTCGGGTTTAGCCGTCTTAAGAGACGTACGGCTAAACCCGAATGTTTCTAGTTCTAGATCTAATGTTAGTTCTACTTTTCGTTCAATAAAAATATACCACAATCTAACGCTGAATAACAATTAAAAGTAGAACTAACATTAGACTTAGAACTAGAAATATTGATTCTAGTTCTAGGTCTTATGTTAGTTCTAGTGATAGTGCTAGTATAAAACTGGAACTAACACTAGACCGAGAACTAGAAACATTCGGGTTTAGCCACACGTCCTCAAGACGGCTAAACCCGAATGATTCTAGTTCTAGGTCTTGTGTTAGTTCTAGTGATACTGCAATATTAGAACTAACACTAGACCTAAAACTAGAAACATTCGGATTTAGTCGCACGTCTTTCAAGACGGCTAAATCCGAATGATTCTAGCTTTAGGTCTTGTGTTAGTTCTAGTGATAATGCTGATATAAAACTAGAACTAACACTAGACCTACAACTAGAAACATTCGGGTTAGCCGTACGTCTCATAAGACGGCTAAACCCGAATGTTTCTAGTTCTAGGTCTAGTGTTAGTTCAATAAAAATATGCAACATAGTGATATCTTATGTTAACTAACGCTACCTACCATTGTCACTAGAACTAACATTAGTCCTAGAACTAGACGCATTCAGACATGTTGCATTTTATGTGGGACAAAGTAAATAGGTATGCGAAATATATTTTTGTATATTGCATTTTAAGTAAAATTTACTGCATATTTTTCAAAATGTAAATTAAAAGAAAAAATACGTTATAAGGACAGGTGGTAGTAGTTTTCTCGAAAACCTTCAAACCATCATCTCCCAGAAGTTACCCAAAAATTATACTGGTAACCCGTTATATCCGCGAAAGAATGGAACGAAACTAGGCCCACATTATATACAGTTATTAGGCCGAACAAACGACAGAGACATCAATCACGACAAAGCTTTAACACAAAGCTTCGTCTTCGAGGGACTCTTGGGAAAAGTAAACCACGACAGTCGACAGAAAAAGGCTTAACAATAACTCTCATATTTGTATGGATGTATGACAAGTGACATATTTGAACAAAACTGCGTACTCTTTTTTGCAAGAAAACTTTAAAAGAAAACTTTAAAATGTGTCGATGTTCTTTTAAAAGTAATAATTCGATTGCGATCAATCTTGATTTTTGAGATGTATTTTGATATGAAACTTTCTTTTCCAAGTAAAACACGCAATTTTACTTAAAAATCGTCTGACAATGAATAGAAAGGGGGTGAAATATCTTCTCGTAGCTTTCTCCTTTCTTTTTAAACGGAATTAGGTGAATGTCATCGTGTTGAGAAAGAAAAAAAACGGTTCCTTTTTTTTGTTGTTGATGCCCAGGTTGTCACCAGAAAAGGGTCATAAATTAGAAGAGGATTTTTTTAAAAGATGCCACGCGTTTTGAAATTTTTATTCAATTTAAACTACTTCTTAAAAACACTGTTATAATTTTCTTGGTATTACATGTCCTAAATCATATTTTCCCCTAACACACTTTAATTTAACCCCGGGGCAATCTTGAACTCTTCCAACTTGACACAGGACGATGTTGTGTTCTTGTAAAGTGTGTCCAATTCCGGGAATATAAGCAACCATTTCTTTCCCATTCGTTAATCGAACGAGGACGCATTTCCGGTTCGCCGAATTCGGTTTTTTCGGCTTTTTAATTAAAGTTTTTAAAATGATTCCTTTCATAAAAGGATTACCATCCAATGGGTTTTTTGAGGGACGATCTTTCATTCTCGGTCCCGATTTTAACATTTTTCTTAACGAAGACATTGTTCGCTCTGAAAATAAACAAATTACGCAAATAACGAGTTATTACTTAATTGAAATATAAATAAAACGTTTATTGTGTTTTAATGGGATTCAAATTAGGTTTTTAGTTAAAGAATTTTGATGTTAACTTTAAGTTGACGTAATATTTTTGAGTTCTTTCAAGGTTAAAGAAATCGGAATTAAAATAAAACTTTCATATATTTATTTAAAATAATCTATTTACAATATTTTATTATACATCAAAATTTACGCTTTTTATCTTAGTTTGTTTAAATTATTTAATTCGTAGAAATAAACTTGTTTCAATTGATCTAATCTTTCGTTTTGCTGCGAAACCAAAAATTTTTTTTCCTCAATTTTACCCCGAATATTCTGTAAAACAACGTTATCTTGGTCAATTAACGTTTTTAGCTTGATTAATTCTGCTTCTAAAAACGCGACGCGTATCGTTAGCTCATCTTCGCGTAATTTACGCGCATCCCTCGATCTTTTCGCGGCTAAATTATTTTTTTCTCTTTTTTCTCGATAAAGTGGATCCTCGTTTTGTTTCCAATGATTCGTTCGGCGCATATTTTGATTCGATGAGGTTCTCGGCCGTAATTTAGCCAAACTAACAGATCGAAATTTTTGATATTTTTCTTCCATCGTTTCAGCATCATCTTCAGCCACATTTAATGATAACATACTCATAATCGATAACGGATTTCTTTGGTACGCTTTAAATGGTCTTACTTCAATTGAATTTGAATCTAAATTAGTAATTTCTTGATTGTCCGGTTTTGTTTCGGTTTTTTCGGTGGGTTCTGGAGTGGTTTCTTTTTTCCTTGATAAATCCAAAGGGATATCTTGGGATTCATTTTTAACTTGTACTAATTCACCACCGTAAAAATACATTTTGTCTTTAATCGTTTGCAATGTTGCAATGAAAGGTCAGTTTACGACTGACCTTGGTAAAGATGTTTTGCCAATTTTACCGATATTTTGACCAGGTTTTTGGGTAGAGAGAGAAAGAGGGTGGTGTCTCATCGGTCATTTCTTCGACCAATCGTTGACAATAACTCCTCCCACTATTTTTAGACTATTTCCTGTTATAATGGTGATAGGGATGGTGAGACTTTTTGGTATAACAACAAAAATAATAATTTAAAATAAATCACATTTCAATCAATTTAGTATGAAGTCTATAATTAAATTGATATGGTGTACATTCAACTTTCTTGCGTATTTATAAGGTACAAAGAGAGTGTGCAGAACATTTTAACTGTCTATTTCTCTATTTTCTGGATAAAGGAACATTCTGTGGGAAATACTAAATGTTTGGACTTTACTTCGCAGATAAAGAGCGGTCGTCTATACATGCATATTCTGGCAAATCTCCTCTCATCCATTCTTTTATGCTCCTTTGTCCATTTTACTTCATCCTGTATGTTACATCTCTTTCTGATAAAGGTGTTGGTCTGCCTATCTCGCAGTGTCATATTCAACATAGATCTCAAGTCTTTCATCTCCATCATCCTCATCCTCTGTTTAGTCTTCTTTGTTTCTGCTATCGTCTCGGTACCATATGTTAGTATGGGTCGTACCATGGCTTTATATATTTTCCTTTTCTACTAGTGGTTCGCACGAGACCAACGAGACGAGATTTTCATAAAATCTTGTCTCGTCGATGAACTACTAAGTCTTATATCAAGTCTCGTTTCTCGTACGAGAGTCTCATAAAAGTATCGAAATCTCGTCATGCATAATCTTATTATTTCAGTGCAATGAGGTATACTTAAATACTTGCTATAACGTAAGAGTCGGAAGACTTACAGCCCTCAGCCCTGTCGGTAGCAAATCATTTTGTTTTTCACCCAATCGTTTAGACATAACAAACATCGTGCAGATTTATTATTAAGGCGATTTCGATGCTTATAGTTAATGCAGCACGTGAGAATAATCATTCCGCCGGGACTGAAGTAGCCGGTATGCTTAAGAGATCTCGTGTCATTAAACTTAAAATAGGAAATTCAGAAGCATGAATTTTCCACCAATATAATATATCTGTGTCTTTATTACACCGAGGCATAGAATAATATTTTCGAAACTCCTGCATTCATTCTCCTTCGGAAAGGAGAATTCAAAATTCAAAATCAATTACAAAATCCGACTTTTCCGCTCTAGAATCTTCTCGTTTAATTCTTGGCTCCATCTTGTCATATCAAAAACTTCTATCTTATGCCGCGAATCGAGAATTAAAACTGCAGCATAAATCTGCTTTAATACTTTGTTTCTCGCAGCCTGAAAACTACTAATAAGCTGCTCTTCGACAGCGTTTCAATCTGCCTTTCGGTCCCATGCAAATATTTTGCTCTCAATATGATTTATTAGTATATTGATACATACAACCACCATAGGTAATTTGATGTACTTCCTTCCTCCGAGTTTCTTGGAAAGTATTTAAAAGTTGACTAGTAATTTGTGCACTTCTTCTAGCAGTATCCATTCTTTGTCCTCAAGATAATATAGTTTTAAATCAACAACATTTTGACACAATGCACCAAGTCCATGTCTACCTTCAAGAGGTACTTTCAACATATCAGTACTGGAATTCCAGCGTGTAGATACGAAACTATTTACAGAAATATTGCAGATATTTCTTATTATTAGAGACTCTCGTACGCACCACTATTTTCTACGCATGTATTTGTTCCGCCATATAGTGTCCTTTAGACAGTCTGCGACTTGTGTCGCTCTTGTAACTTGTGCTTCCTTACATAGTTTTCGATAGCTTGTAATTTCTACACCTAGATAGTTAACATGCATACCTTCTTTTATTATAGAGTCTTGAACTTGTAGTTTGCGTCTTGGTTCTTTGGATATTACCATACATTTTGTTTTCTCCGTTGATATTTATATATTGTAACTTTCCTACACATAGACTTAATTTGGTACCTCGCGCAGCAAAGAGAAATCAATATTTCTTGATGAGAAAGTATCAAGACTACAGCATCAAAAGAAAATAATGATTATGGATGTACTGATTGTGACATAAGGTCTTTAAAAGGTTCAACCTAGGAATCGTGCTTGATTTATGTACTTTGAAGAGCTCATCATCATCATTGGCGTCACAACTCGTGGCGGATCTTGGTCTGTCCTAGGATTAGCTACCACTCTCTTGTATCCACCTTTTTTTCCTAGTCTTTATATCTGCTTCTAGGACTGCCTCTCTTGCGGGTTCCAAAAACTGTTTGGTGCAAAATTAGCTTTGGGACTTCCCCGTCATCCATCCTTTCTAGATGGCCGAGCCAACCTTAACCTATTGATTTTGATTATGAATGCACTGTTTGTGACTGTTATGATTTGATTTGAAAAGTACCACAACAATTATTTTTGATCGCCGTGGACCTATCGTTAGAAAATCGATTGGCTGAAGCTAAGAAGGGCTAAGTTCAAGGGTTGGAGACAAAAGCGCGAGATGGACATGGTTCAATCTCGGAATTGTTGCTTCATTTATATACTTTGAAGAGCCTGCCTCTCTTGCGGGTTCCAAACACTGATTCGCGGAACATTTACTTTGGGGGTTTCCTGTCATCCATCCTTTCTAGATGGTCGAGCCACCTTAACTTATTGATTTTGATTATGAATGTAGTGATTGTGACATACTAGAACATTTGGAATTAATCAAAGTGCAAACGTTGAGATGGATTAAAAAAGTACCACAAGAATTATCTTTGATCGCAGCGCCGTGGACCTATGAATAGAAAATCGATTGGCTGAATCTAAGAAGGTCGAAGATCAGGGGTTGGAAACAACAGGCAAGGTTGGAAGGAACCACCTTAACCTATTGATTTTGATGGATTGTACAATATTTGGTTCTTCATAGAGCCGATACAACTAAAAAATGTAACGCGTTCTTTGAAGAGCTCTTTGTGATGCTAATATTAGAAGGTCTTATTTAGGAGCTTCAGCATTGATCTTCATCCTCCTCTAAGATGATCTTTGTCTTCATTTGGTTTTACACTATGCTAATTAATTATCGTAACCCACGTGACCTGTGTAATATTGGCTGCATATCTCAATATGTAGTGGTAGCTTCGATAATTTTAAATTTGTTGTGATTGTCGTACGCTTTGTGAGTTTCCGTATTTTCTTTGTTCTTTAACTGTTTTAGCTTCCTTTATATTTTTCGAAACAGTTCTTTACTATCGTTGTTTCTAGCGGTTGCTTTATGCGGTAAGTCAATAAACAAATCAAAATAACCACTACTTTACAATCTGTGATATTGGTTGCATACTTTGTCGGGTACAATAATTAATTAACACACTGTATCTTTGTACTATTCTTCTCTCTTATTACTTAATTTCGCTCCGCTAGATTCCCTGGAAATTAATCCCATCTTTTTGGGATCCACTAAGTTCGTTTTTGTACAATCTTAATTTGTATAAACTTAATTTTTATGTTGTACATCAATATCTTTTCCGGTATCCACATATAGGCAACTCATTTAACACATAATTTTTTTAAATTAAATTAAACCTTATTTTAGATTAAAAACTTTTATTATTACTTAAACTACCGTTATTTCACGATCATAATTTATATCGAAAAACATAATAAATTGCATTTACTTAAATTTTTGCGATATTAACCCTTTTGAATCCCATTTGACATTTCATATAAAATCGTAAGTTATTTAAAAAATTAAACTTAAATTAAGAACAAAAAACAGTACTCACCTTGAATATCCATAAAGTTATTTGTAACCAAATTAATCGGCTGAATTTTATTGACTAAACCCCTCAACATGTTCATCCTCAAATCTCTTTAGAAATACAAATGAGTTTATATAACTAATAATGTGTTTGGTTCTTTAAACTTAAACAAATAATCTCATTAAACTCATTAATTATTACCTTTATCTCGAAATATATCTTTTAAGCAAGAAAATAATATAAAATTTGTTAGGTTATGTTCACTTTGACATAAAATGAATGTACATAACTTAACTTAAAGAATTGTACGTGTAATTTAGGTTGCCTATATAGAGGTTGATTTGAAAATTTGTTAAGAATTAAAAAATTTTTTATTATAAAAATGTGAATAAACGTTTAAGCAAGAAATAATAATTATTATAATAATGTTACATAATAAGATACTAATTATTTTTTGCATAGACAAATTATGAATTGTTTTTAAAATGCTTTGACATAAAAATATCTTTACAACTACTAATTAGAAAGTATTCAGGTCAAAAAAACCAGATAGATGTTTAATAAAACCTCAAAATATAAACACAAACTCGTTCGAACTGCTCAAGAACGCGAGCGTCGAAAGTGACATAGTTCCCGAGACGAGATGCGTGTATCTTTTTGCAAGGTATTACATATAATTGGCTTATTATAATCTAAGATGCTAATTTGCAAGATTTCCAAACCGATTTTCAAGTAGAATTTTTGTTTCGTTTTACAGTTCGTTTTATTACTGGTAATCGTTTATTTGAACCGAGTTGTTGGTTTAGAACACGGACACGCTTCTCTTGAAGAGGTCTACCACACCTTTCACGACGTCCCAGTTTTAAAGATAAAAAAATCTGTCACAAAAATACATCACGGGGGCGGTAATAATTTTAGGGACGAATGGATTCCGGGCCACGTAGAACATCACGCTTTTATTCCCGGTCATGTTCATCACGTTTTGATTCCGACTGCTGGAGTTTTAGTGACGACGCAGCACCATTCGCATCCGGATAGTCACGTTAATGTTTTTAAGAGTCATATTGGAGGGTTTGGAGTTGGATTGGATAATGGGGGGCATGGTGCAGGGCATGGATTTCATGTTTGGACTGCTTATAGTTTAAGATAGATTTGTTATTGTGATTAATAAGAATACATTATTAATATGGATACGATTCGATCAATTTTAGTTTATTTTAATTTTCTACTTGGTTGTACGCTTTACATATGACGCGTTATGTGAAAGTTATCGAAGGAATTTTTTTAATATTATTCATCACGTCGTTATCTTTTGTGGAGTACAAGATTTCTTTTCTCGTGTGTATGTATTAGCTGCGATAAAATTTTACGAAATGGCGCGAGCGTAAAAATTCAATATCGTAGTGAAATGCATCGCACGTTAATTTTAAAAAGAGGAAATACTCCGTTGGAGCAATGCACTCGAGAGAAGGAGGATCTGAAGCGTAACACATCCACATTCTGCGCTACGTTGCGCACCTCTACACGGAATAATACCTCGTCTTTTTCCTCTTTCAATATCGTTCATTTAATCCGGAATAAAAATTTTCTTTTGATCCCAAAAGAATAAAACGAAAGCGACGTTAAAAAATGAGCAAAATAAATTTTGAAACTTTCTTCTTGCTCGCTTTTATGTTAACCGCTTCTTGAATCGTATCCAGAGTTAAAACTCTCTTCGGGGTGTGGTCACCGCCGTGACCCAAGAAAACACGTTACGCAATGGAAAAAATTAGTGAAAAGCGAAATCGCCGACAATGGCACATGGATTTTGCTCTGATTGAAGCAATTAGAAAGTTTGTTCACAAACACAATTTGTGCTAAATGGATATTACCGTCAACGGAAAAGTTCAAAACAAAAAAAAATAGCAAAGTGTACTACATCATTGCGACTTTTACACTAAAGCTAAAAATTATGGGCTATAAAAAAATTCATACTGAGGTCCTTTTATGGCTGAGAGTAAAAACCTGTGTTCACCGAAAATTGCTCGTAATTATATTTACGTTAGAACGCAAAAGGGTGAAAGCGAAATGGTTAAGATTAGTGTTTAATAAAAGATAACGTTTATTAGAAGAAAAATGTATTGTTCCGAAAATTATTGCTTTTTAAGACTAAAATGTATAAAAATTGAAAATAAAATGTTTTAAACTTAATATTTACAGTACCATATACATAACCGAAATTTCTTTTTGATTTAGTACCATCCATGACCATATCCATAACCCAAACCATGTCCTAATCCAAAACTCGAATAAGAATACGATGGATAATAATAACCGTGTCCGAAACCACCTCCGTAATATTTTGAATAATACGGAGAATGATATCCGTAAGAATATGGGTATCCATAACCAAACCCATAACCTCCATATCCCCCATATCCTCCATAACCTCCATATCCACCATACCCCCCATAACCACCATATAAAAGACCACGCTTAGCGATCTTTTTATCTTGGATTAATTCTTCATCCTCAGCAAAAATCACCAAAACGAAACAAAACAACAACAAACCCTACACGAATTTTGAATTAATTTAATTTAAATTAAATGATTTAAAATCTTACCAAAAATGTTTTGTACATCTTGAACACTTAGGGTTATTTTTCAACTTAGAAATAGCTTCTAAAGTATTCAATTTAAACTCAACACTTATATACATATTACGTTTGAAGGTAAAACATCCCTTCCTCTTATTGCGACATAGTTTAAGGTTAAAAGGAAGCAACAAGGGGGCCATTGTCTACAAAACTTTGCGTGTCTAGGAGTAATTTTTTTAATCATTGTCATAAGGCCGGGGTATGAAATTGAGTCAAAGTGCGTATTTGTTGCAATATTTGCGGTGACCAGAAATTGACCTTAACCCGACGGGTCATTAAGTATGGATAGAAAAAGTTTTAAAAGAGGTAAAGAGGTGAGTTTTAATTATTAATAATCTTTAAATCGTTATATCCCAGTGATTCTATTAATTATAAGAGAGTTATTGCCCTAAAAAAAAATTACAAATACATTTATTTATTTGTGCAGGTTGGATTGGTGATTTTTTAATTATAAACTTAAAACAATCACTTCTTTATCGTTATATCATGATATTATGCTAAATACTAGGTTAATAAGCCTCTTTGTTTTCGTTATAAACAAGAATGTCATTGACTTGAGGTCGTTTTTAATTGGTGTTGTTGTTAACATATCTTTATGTTTTTTTTTCTTATTTATTCTCATTATAATTTTATTTAAGAAAAACAAATTACGGACCTGTTTTCTGAATTTTTTCATTAAAAAAAGGATACTTTAGTTAATAATTCCAAAAGGATCCCTCAAGAAATGAATATTGTAACGAATTTTGAATAAAAATTGTAACCTCGAAAATTTCATTAAAATTTCAAAAATTTATTTCTCAAAAAGTAAAAGAGATTTTTCAAAACGGGTTGGTTCATTGGAAAGAGGACACTTTAATTAATAATTTGAGAAAATTTCATGCTCATATTCCCAGAAATGAATTTTATACGAATTTTTAAAACTTAATCGGCGAAGATTGGAAAATTCGATAAAATTGTCGATCATTTCAAAAATTTATTTCTCAAGAACCAAAAGTGATTTTTCAAAACGGCTTTATCAATTAAAAAGAGGATTTAATTAATAATTGGTGATACTTTAACAAGAATCCTTCAAGAAATTAATTTTATAACGAATTTTGAAAATTATCGATGAAAATTGCAACATCGAAAGTTTCATTAAAATTTCAAAAACTTGTTTCTCAAAAACTAAAAGTGATTTTTCAAAACGGTTTGGTTTGTTGGAAAGAAGACACTTTTATTAATAATTTGAAAAAATTTTATACTCATACTCCAAAAAATGGGTTTTATACAAATTTAAGAAACAAATTAGATTTTAAGGATGTTTTTAAATTTTTAATGATTAAGTTTAAAAATGGATGGAAACACGGTTTTTTGGAAAATTATTTTGAAACTCTCACCGTTTATTAATTAAAGCGTTCCCTTCTTAGAAATCAAGTCCGTTTTGAAAAATCTCTATTCGTTTTTGAGATATTAATTTTTAAATCCAATTCGACTATGAAAATATTTTTAAATTGTTATTGATTAAGTTTAAAAATGGGTGGAAAATCGTTTTTTTTTGGAAAATTATTATGAAAGTCTCACCGTTTATTAATTAAAGCGTTCCCTTTTTAGAAATCAAGCCCGTTTTGAAAAATCTCTATCCGTTTTTGAGATATTAATTCTTATATCCAATTCGATTTTGAGGAAATTTTTAAATGGTTGTTGATCAAGTTTAAAAATGTGTGGAAAATCGGTCTTTTGGAAAATTGTTTTAAAACTCTCACTGTTTATTAACTAGCTCATCCCCTTTTTAGAAATCAAGTCCGTTTTGAAAAGTCTCCTTTCGTTTTTGAAATATTAATTCTTAAGTCCAATTCGGTTTTGAGGATTTTTAAATTGTTATTGATTAAGTTTAAAAATTTGTGGAAAATCGGTTTTTTGGAAAATTATTTTGAAACTCTCACCGTTTATTAACTAAAGCATCCTATTTTTAGAAATCAAGTCCGTTTTGAAAAATCTCTTTTCGTTTTTCAGATATTAATTCTTAAATATAATTCGATTTTAAGGGTGTTTTTACATTTTTATCGATTCAGTTTAATAATGTGTGAAAAATCGTTTTTTTGGAAAATTAGTATCAACTTTTCACCGTTTATTAATTAAAGCATCCCCTTTTCAGTAGTCAAGTCCATTTTGAAAAATCTCTTATCGTTTTTGAGATATTAATTGTTAAATCCAAATCGATTTTGAAGATTTTTAAATTGTTATTGATTAAGTTTAAAAATTTGTGGAAAATCGATTTTTTGGAAAATTATTATGAAACTCTCACCGTTTATTAATTAAAGCATCCCCTTTATAGAAATCACGTCCGTTTTGAAAAGTCTCTTTTCGTTTTTGAAATATTAATTGTTAAATCCAATTTGATTTTGAGGATATTTTTAAAGTGTTATGGATTAAGTTTAAAACTGGGTGGAAAATCGGTTTTTTGGAAAATTATTTTGAAACTCTCACCGTTTATAAATTAAAGCGTTCCCTTTTTATAAATCAAATCCGTTTTGAAAAATCTCTATTCGTTTTTGAAATATTCGTCTTTTAATTTAATTCGATTTAAAGGATATTTTGAAATTTATATGGATTAAGTTTAAAAATGTGTGGAAAATCGGTTCTTTGGAAAATTGTTTTAAAACTCTCATCGTATATTAATTAAAGCATCCCCTTTTTAGAAATCAAGTCCGTTTTGAAAAATCTCTTTTCGTTTTTGAGATATTAATTCTTAAATATAATTCGATTTTAAGGGTGTTTTTACATTTTTATCGATTCAGTTTAATAATTTGTGAAAAATCGTTTTTTCGGAAAATTAGTATCAACTTTTGACCGTTTATTAATTAAAGCATCCCCTTTTCAGTAGTCAAGTCCATTTTGAAAAATCTCTTTTCGTTTTTGAGATATTAATTTTCTAATGAATTTATAACGAGTTTATCAATAAACATTGATTTTGTCTATGAACACTAACATTTATATTTAAATGTGTTATATCCGTTGTCCGTTCTAACGAATTCCGTTATATTGAGATTTTACTGAATCCCAAAAGAGAGTATGCTCTACATTCCTAATATGATATTCTTTTATCGAGACGAAAGCGACATCGCCTTTTTAAAGAAAGTCAATTTCTTTTTGAACCCAACAAAAAAATCGTGTTAATATATATTAATAGTCTCTAAAACAAAGTGGAAGGTGAAGTTGAAAATCCTTTTACATTATTTTTTTATAGCATTTGAGACCGGAAACGTTCATTTTCAGAAAAAAGACTTTCTTGGTAACTTGAACTTTCAGCTGGAGTTCAGTTTTCGAAGTGAAAGAGAAGAGGTGATTAGCTCAAACCCATTAAGGTCCTACCAATTTATTTGCGGTGAAGGTAACGGACCAATATAAAAGGGTTAACCAACGACGGACATTCAACTTTCATCCTATCGTTGTGGAAAACAATGCAACGATGCGTGAATGGTACATTGACTGTACGAAATCGTCGAAAAGATCCACATACTTTCTAATTCCTTTGCAAATTTTCAATGTTAATAAAGTTCTAATTCGTCATGGTATTGAATATTTTTTAATAATACTTATTGAAAATTATTTCAATATAATAAAATCGATTTAAATCATTTATGAAACGAGTTGAATTTAATTAATTCGAAAATAATTATTTTAAATTATTACAATCTATAAATTTTAAATGTTTAATACATATGGACGTTCTAAATAAAATCATCAATTTAGTTACCCCACGAAGAACTTTGGAGAAAGGTAGGAAGTGGCTTATATATAGTACAAACCAGAACGTTGTCTTCATTCTTCTCCTGCTGCTGTACGAGTTCTCGCGAAAAGATGAAAGTTTCCGTCGTGAGTGTTTTGCCAAAAAAAAAAAAGTTTGAGAAAGTTTTGAAAATTAATTCTTTCAGGTGCTCTTGGTAACCTTCTTCGGGATCAGCTTTGCTGCGGATCAACACAAACGGGGATCCGAGGAATACAATTCAAGTACGGGAAAACCTGCATCTTCTTCAGCCCAAGAAACGACATCAACCCAAGATGGTGGCAAGTACCCGCAACAACCTAGTTATGTTTTCCAGAGTAAAGCACAAACTTATACTCCACCACAATTTAATTACATCGTACCACAAACTTATAAATATATTCCTCAACCGAATTTGGCACAGATAACTTATGTCCCACAACAATCTCAATCTCAACAGTTACAACATCAACAGTTACAAAATCAACAATTACAATCTCAACAATTACAATCCCAACAATTACAATCGCAACAATTACATGAACGATTACAAAAACAGCAACAAGTTTATCAACCTGCACAACAAACCGTTCAATATGCGACGTTACAAAACTCAGCTGCTATTAAAACAGTTCCTGCTCCACAAAAGGTAATGTGTTTTACAAAATAATGAATCCTTTCTCTTTTTTTAACGATACTTAAACGGCAATCGGCATCTTTTAGAAAGTTAATTAAAAGCATCTGGTTAAATAATTACTTGACAATCATAATGATTACTCAAGAGAAACGTATTTATTAATAGAAATTGAAATAAATTCTAAAACAATAATTAGGATGCATGTATTAATTTAAAAATACAAAATCATGTTATAATTTATTTATACATATAATTAATACCGGAAAATTTATCCTCATACTATAATTTATTGCAAGCTCTAACGCTAATTTATTTTCATCGATAATTATAATGAATTTTTAATTATAAAATGTATTATGATACCCCCATAATATTAAATCTTTTTAAAATTTTCACTCGATCGCTTCTTGAAATTGATCCGCATTCGCAAATTTTATAAATAGTCTACGGCATAAATTAATTTTTGCAGCGATTCCAAATTACAAGATCATTTAACTTGTAACAGCAGAATAAAATCGACTCGAGTTGTATTCAAGTTTGCAGATTATTCTGGACTAATTATCAAGTTGAGGAATGAGGTTCACAAATTCGTTTACTAATGTTTATGTAGTAATTCATTTTTCAATACAATTTTTGCAAACAATACTAAACACGCCGTAGAAAGTGACGTATTTACAAGATAAGGCAACTTTATGCTAGATTTCTTGGTTGGGCGATGTTGTTTTGGATCTTTGTGCTACATCCCATGCTACAAGAAGTCAACTCCAGTCAATTTTTTGGATGTTGAGAGGTCGTACAAAATTCACAATCTACCAATGGTGTTCTGTCAAACGTTTCCAAAAACATACGACAATTTTGATTCTTTAGATATGATTGCTAATGATACAGCAACCATTTTTAGCCATTTTCAAAATACTTTAATTTTTTTTGAGTTTCAACAGAATTTATAAGATGTGGTAGTTAATAAATGTTTACACCTGAATATGCAGAAGCAGTCCGCTTTTTAGTTTGGTGAAAAAGACTGCATCATGTCTCTATCAGGCCTGTGTCAATACAGCATCCAGGAGGAATGCATAAAATCATCTTTATTAAATCTCCATCAAATCCTTGAGGACTACATCAAATCACCATGACTTATGCTTTCATCAAGACAAATTCAACTCCTTGCCAGAACCTTCCATCATCTGCATTATTCCTACAAAACCCCTTCAGCCTGTTTCTATCAAGTTAAGTCTTCATCAACTATGCCCCAAAACTGTGTTAACCATCTACAGGGTCTGCATCAAAACGGCTGAATGAAGTATTCACCTTATTTCTACCAAATTAAGTCTGCACAGAGTCAAAATTCCACCAAGACTGCATCATATCTCTGTCAGATATACATCAAAACTCTTCCTACATTGTTTTTTATTAAATATACATCAAGTATTTGACGTCTCCAATATGGCTTTCACTTTATTACTACTTCGGCCAAGTATACTTCAAGACTCCAGCAAGGTTGCGTCTATATCTACATATCTACATCGAGTTTCCATCAAAATTATATATTCATACAATGACATGTAAGTTTTAATGACTTGAACCTTTCTACAAACAAATTTTCAAAATGAAACCTGAATCTCTATGCGTTTAGACTGGATTCCAAAACTCTGCCTAAATTAAAATTTAGATATCTTTGCAATGAGGTTGATTGAATCTTTTTGGAAACTAATATTAAATCACGGTATGAATTTTTATGCAATTAGGTACTTGAAAAACCATTCTAAATGGTTTCCAAGGTTTTTGTCAAACCTTCATTGCATCCAAATACTTGAATTTTCCTGCAAATGGATTTTCAAACTGAAACCTAAATTTCTATGCATTTAGAAACTTGAGTAATGCTTCAAATTGGTTTCCAAAATGTTTTCAACCTAAAATAAAAATTTATTTAGATATTTATTTACAAAGAACAGTGTAAATCCTCATTACAACCTAATCTGCAAAAACATCTTGTTCATTTTATTATGTATTGCCGTTTTTTCTTTACTTATTTTGAAGGAATCTTCTCCCCTCACTCGACTTCAAGTCACATCATTATCACGTTATCTCTACAAAATGTCTTCATCATATTTCTATCAAGATAAGTGTCCATCATCTTGCACCTAGACTGTATTAAATATCTATATTGTCTGCATCAAAACGGTATTTAGTACAGATGCATATCGTCCTTATCAAGCTTGTCAAGCTTGGCTATCAAGTCAAGTTTGCACACAGACATCAAAACTCTTCCTACATTGTTTTTTATTAAATATAGACCAAATTTTTGACATCTGCATTAATTCTCCATTATGCCTTTGACTTTATTATTACCTCGACCAAATATACTTCAAGCCTCTATCATGCTCATAATAAACTACATTGTCTTTGATGCAGACAACTCTGTATACTTAATATTTAACCTAACACATCATTGCTAAGTCAAATTCGTACATAGTTAAAACTCCAAGTAGGTTGCGTCTATATCTATATTGAGTTTATATCAAAATTACATATTAATACAATGAGATGTATGAAAGTATTAATGACTTAAATCTTTCTGCAAAAGAATTTTCAAGGTAAAACCTGAATTTCTATGCGTTTAGATTGGTTTCCAAAACTCTGCCTACATTAAAATTTAGATTTCTTTGCAATGAGGTTGATAGTATCTTTCTAGACATTAATACTAAACCGGGGCATAAATTTTTATGCAATTAGTTACTCAAATAATCATTCTAAATGGTTTCTAAGATTTTTGCCAAATTGAAACATAAACTTCATTAGCATTTATGTCTTAAATGTTCCTGCAAACGAAATTTCAAACTGAAATATGAATTTCTATGCATTTAGACACTTGAGTAATTCTTCAAACTGTTTTCCAAACTTTCTTCAACCTAAAATTTAAGTAATTTTGTAGCCAGAGAGATATGAATTGTTCTGCAAACTGATATTAAGAATTACATAACTATGTAGTTACTTCAATTATTACTTTTTTAAACTTGTGCTTATATTTAATTGCAATAAAACACTCGAAACAAATGAATTTTTAAATTGATTTGTTTAATTTCAGTTGACTTACACACATGAGCAACCTCAAGTCTCGACTCAACAACAGCAACAACAACACCATCCGATTCAATATTCCTCAGCAGCTGATGTTTCCAGTTTTAAATTTCAAAGTCCTCTGGTTACTTATTCAAACCTAGGAGTTTTGCAACAATCGATTGGAAAAGGAGCCGAACAACCATCATCAAGACAATTTCCTCATCAAACTGCCCAACAAACTTACCAAGTACCAACTCACCATCAATCAGCTCAGCAACAACCAGCCCAACCACAACAACAACAACAACAAACTTATTATCAACAACCTCAATTTGTTTATAAACCAGGAAAAGTCGAACTTCCTCAAGTAACGTATCCAAGTCAACAAGAAAAATTGCAAATTTATAGCCAAGCGCCGCAAACGTTCCAAACGGCGTCAAAACAACCTCAGCAAGTTGTTTATCAACAGGTGGGGACACCGAAACAGGCGGCTTCTATTCCGCAACAGCTCGTTTACGCCGTCCCACAACAATACACTGTGCAATATGTCCAACAGGAAGCGCATAGTGTCCCACAACCGCAATATGTAAACGCTCCACAGTATCAGTACGTACAGGGTTATCACCAACAAATAGCTGAATAATTAAGAGTAAAACGATTTTTTTTTAAGTTTTTTTTTATTGTAAATAAGTGTTGTGAGTAATTGTAACCTAGTCTTTAATATTTTTTCCCTTCTGTGCTGATTAATTATAGTCAATGATTTTTTTTGTATTAAAATGCTGAGAATTTAAGAAATTTAGCTTTATTTTACAACAATTTGATAGTTTCTCCACAGCATCTGATCCTATTTTTTTTTATAATACAATACTATATTACAAGTATTACATTTAAGTAATCGAGAGAATAAGCGTAAGTTTTCACGAATTAAATTAATTAATTCTCCGGTGCGGTTTTAATTTCAAACGTTTTCCAAATTTGTGTTGCATTGTAAAATTGGGGGCTCGTTGATATTTTACAATATAACACTATCGAATCCATTAAAATATCTTAAATTATTATTAATATCGTATGTTCAATAAAAATTATTTTCGATTTGAAATTTTTATTGAACATATTTGAACAACAATTTTTAAAATGTCGTTGAGGAAATGTACAAAAAATGAGGTATGAAAACGGTTTTTACGTTTTTTCTTTTCTTGATAGATTTTATTATTTTAATTCATCTAATACTGTATGCACGACACTTTTTAGTGTTTATTCTATTTATTCATAAAGAGGAGCCGGGATTTATAATAATTTAAAGATTTATTTACAAAGAACAGTATAAAACCTCTTTACAACCTAATCTACAAAAACATCTTGTTCATTTTATTATGTATTGCCGTTTTTTCTTTGCTTATTTCGAAGGAATCTTCTCCCCACACTCGCCTTGATAACAAAACTTATTAACAAATTCATGATATGTTCTTAATAAATTCGTGTCAGTTTTTTTCTTTTTTTATTTGATAAAACAATTAATTAACAGCAATTTTTTTAACATCTTAACAACGAAATAAATCCCTTTATCAATCATTGGACTACTTAGGTACACAGGTTCTCTATTGTATTTATAATTCTTTAGCGAATAGTTATTTAATTTTTGAGCAAAAATTATTAAATCATAACATTTATAATAATAAATCTAAAAAGTTGAGATGTTGCAATATCTGAATAGATTGTCCATCCCAACTTACTTAGATTTATTATTATTTACTAAAGATTACATTGGAAGCTTTTTAATTTTAAGTTGTCCAACACATTAATTTCTTGAAGGCTTTTCTGAATTCGGGGTTGAAAATGGTGTAGATAACTGGGTTGACGAAGCTGTTCATGTAACCTAGCCAAGTTGTCAATAAAAAAGCTGCAACTCCCGGTTGACAATTCAAGCCCAATTTGCTGCACATTGCGTCCATGATATTGCACGTGAAGAATGGGACCCAACATATTAAGAAAACGCCTGCGAAAGTCATAAATTTTTTATCAGCGTTTGTGTTATCGCGAAAATGTGAAGCGAGGGAAATGGATTAAAAAAAAATACCGTTTTACTCTACACTAAAGGCTACGGTTATTAAAATTCATAAATCATCATACCGAGTACAATGGCAAGCGTTTTCGTCGCTTTCCGCTCCTTTCTCGCGCTCGATTTCTCCCTCTTTTTCTTACTGGCTTTGTTCACCTTGTATATTGTAAACCTGGCGCCGGCGGTCGCTTTTCGCTCCTTCTTCGACCCTGTTGATCGCGCCGATCCTGAATTTACTCCGGTTACCGCGGTCCTTTATCAACAAAAATATCTCATCTTCCAAAATTTCAAATCAAAAATAACCCGCTCACCTCATTTCAGTATCCGGGGCCGCCCCATTTCGTTTTGCCGCCTGTAAAAGTTTACTTCTTCGTGGACTTTCCGGAAGTACGGTTTCGGTTTGACTCGGAGCGTAACCGGAGTCGTTATTGCCATTCGGATCCGCTAACGTAGCCGGAGAAGTTAAAGTTGCAATGGTCGGTATCCTGTAATTGAAAGTGATGTTTTAAAACATTTTGGTTATGAAGAGCAAAAATCGATTTCGAGACGTGGATCCACCTCTTAGAGAAACGATGATGAGCACGGATAATAGCTCTCGGGAATCTCATCAAGGGAATAATTGAATTGCAAATAGCGAGCGAGAGAACTCTGACATTTCTCACCCCCAAACGTTTCCGTATATACAGGGTGAATTTGAATTTGTTATTAATATAAGAAGTTATTTCTTACGTGGCTTCTTCAGCAACCGTTGTTAAAATGAATTCTGTGCTTTTATCGTTGGAGATAACGTGGCAGTCGACTTCTGGACCATCATCGTCTTCATCTCCCGACCCAGATCCGGTGTTTGTAGCCGGTTCTTCCACCGTGGTCGGCCCCAAAGTCGTTTCGGCCAATTTTCTTGTGTTGGCCACGTTTTCTATCACAGATCCCGGCTTGATTTCGTGCGGTAAAGGTTTCCTACTCATTTTCGCTTGTAAAGCTCTTTTTCTCAAAGCCTAAATTAACATTAAATCAAAAATTAACCGAATAACATTACAACTTCTTCGGGTTCCTAACCTTAAAGATATTGTAATATAGAAAAACCATAATAATGCAAGGAATGTAGAAAGATGAGAGGCTTGAGTAGATTATAAAGTCGCTATTGTAGAAAAGGCAGGCGTCTGCAACGCGATCGGGGGTATTATTGAGGCCGAGAACAATTGGGGATCCAATGGCAGCCGATATTACCCAAACCAAAGCGATCGTAAGCCATACTCTTCTATTGTTCTTATGTTTGGCGTATTTAATAGGTTGCGTAACTGCTATATACCTTAAAAAAGAAATTTTATTAATAAAGCTTTGGGGTCATTTCATGAATAAAATAACAAAGTGGTTATTTTTTATTCCTGGAAAAACAAAATTCAAAATAAAATTGAAATACCGCAGCTCAATTCGTGTTTTTGCCAAAATGAGATCGTTAAAAACAAACCAAGCCAAAAAAAATTAAATAATAGTGAAATCATCAATCCAAAAAAATAATCCGTTGTTTTTATCGTTCGCAAAACTCTTAAACGCAACATTAGTTAGGTTGGGGTGGTCGTGAATTTATGTTGCGCAATTAATCTTTTTGGGGGAGACGTGGGGAATTCGCAGATGCCGAGGGTTTAATACCAATTTCGGTACTAACGATATGGTCTAAAGGAACAATTCTAGACTTCCATTAACAATAATTGCCGTCGATAAACTTACCTATCTATCGATATTGCAACCAAATTAAAAATTGACGAAGTGGAACAGGTAACGTCCATGGCGATGTAGAAATCGCAAACGAATCCCGGCAGACCCCAAGTTCCGTGAACCTGGAAAATCCGAGTTAGTCATAAGTTAAATTGAAACTCTTTGTATGGATATAATTAAACTAACTTAAACTAACTTTATTAGTACGATTTTTTGAGGTCAATCGATTTCGTATCTACGTGAACGTTTTAAGAATTATATCCTGCTAGTAACAAAGACGTCAGACCCTTGTCATCGGCAGAGTTCATATTTTTCTCTTTAAGAACTGAAAATTTTGCATTTCCCTTATCTTTTTAGTTTTATTAAAGCAATTTTTGCGACTTCATTTCTGATAATGTGGTTTGGTGAGGATGCATCAACTTACTATAAAAGCATTCTTTTCGTTGAGATAGACAAGGAAATGATGGAAAACGATACCTTTGTACGCTGGGTTTATGGAGCATAAACTCGTTTGTAGGGTTTTAATAAAATCGAACAAGCCGACCTGTCCATTGTGCCGATATCGAGAATCAATTTGTTATTGCGAAGCACCTCGAGGCATTTTTGATCGTAGCGAATTCGATATGTTTTAGAAGGCTACATAAATTAAAGAACACAAAACAAGAGTTTCTGAAAAGTGTATTTGTTTAGATTAAAAATAAATTGATAAAATTTTCAGGTTTAAAATGAGTTGAAATTGGGTTTTAATTTTTTTTAATACATACTAGCGCGTATACCTGTTATCTAGTTTTCGTAAAATACGTTTTAAATTTCCTCTAGTGGTACTTTAAAATTGGAAAACCCATGGAAAAATAAAAGTTCAAGACCGACTCGAGGGTTGTTTTAATTAAAACTGGGAAAAACCTCTTCTGATTCCGACCAGAATTGAACAAACAATGGAAATTATAGGGATTTTTATTAAAGGTGAATTAATAAAGGACGCGAAAATGAACAAAAATTTCCATAATTAATCTTTTCTATTACAGTATAACCTCGATGTAACAGATCCCGTTATAACAGAGAATCCAATGAGTGCGGGAAGTTAGCCCNACAATGGAAATTATAGGGATTTTTATTAAAGGTGAATTAATAAAGGACGCGAAAATGAACAAAAATTTCCATAATTAATCTTTTCTATTACAGTATAACCTCGATGTAACAGATCCCGTTATAACAGAGAATCCAATGAGTGCGGGAAGTTAGCCCATTTTACGATTTTAAAATTTTTCATTGTTGCTAGATTGTTCTAGAGTATATTGTTCCAAAGCGGCAAATAGAAAAAATAAAAACTCGGCGAGAAAAACCGAAAAAACGGGTTTTTTTGACATTTTTTGAAAAATCTGATTTTCTTAGTTGTTCTAGGGTGTTCTAGTTATTGTTGTAGAAAATCTAAATTATGGGATACATCATTACGAAGTTATAACTAAAAATAGCTTTGGCTGCAAAAATTTAAACCATAGTTTTTCTATTTTCAATTCCATATTAGAACAAGTCTATAAAGGACACTTTACTCTATAAAAATTAAAGTTTTTGAAAGTCAGTAATTCTTGCGTCAGCGGTTTTAAATTACACAATAACAATTAAAAAATATATAACAATAATATTCAAATTGTTCTAGGTGTGTTTTACGTTTAAACTAGGGAAAAAAGGTTTTTTTGGTTACACGGACATTAATTTTGCAAAATCATATCTCCTAAAAATACAGCAAAATGCAGACCTAAAAAGAAAAATAATAAATCAACAAATGAATAATCCCACTATTCGATCAGCAAACAAAAATACACTACACAAAAACCAAAAACTAAATATCTCTGTGTCCCACCCACACAGAGATATATTTATATATACTATATGTGTTCCCATATATTAATAAAATAAAATATTAAAATTCGTTAGAACAACTAATAACAGTTTATGGAAAAATCGCTGAGACGGGTCTAAGAATTTAAAATTTACCGCCATTTTTAAACAAGTTATGACGTTATTGCTATTTTTTTCTGAATTTGGTACCGCCAAAATTAATATTAACTACATAACAAAATTTTCGAGAAATATTGTCAGAAAGTTTCATGATTTCCCATTCATTGGAGGTAGAAAAATAGCAGTATGGCTACTGCTGCGTAACCATGGCAACCAGTTGTTTCAGATACTTTATTAAGACAATGATTAATTATTGATATCTGAAACTGTTGATAGAAGATAAGATTTAGTAAAGAAGCCACCGACTTAACTAAAGAAGAGATATATTAAAAAACAAGTTTCGTAAGACACGCTTGAAATGCACGAATTCAAGTTGAAAAACGAGTGGCGAAGCCACGAGTTTTTTAATGAATGAGTGCTTTAAGTCTTACGAAACGTGGTTTTTATGCTACTTTTGTAATTCGCGTTTTTATCCTTTTTCTTTAACAAGAATAAAATAAATTTTGACAATGTAGGGAAATAGGTATGTAGCAGTTGGTAACACCGCAACACATAAAATAGAAATTTGAATTGACAATTAGAAATTGTCAAAACACAAAATGTATTCACCTGAAAAAAATGTTTCATGTACACCTCCCAAAATAAGAGAAATTAATCAGAGTTCAATGTCCTCATCATTGTGGACCTGCTAAGAACGTGTTTAAACATCCATAGACAAAAATTGTCACATTGACAACTAGCAACATTAACGACCCAATGTCACCAACTTGAACTGGTTCCATAAAATGTTACTAAAATCTCATTACAGCATCGGATGCTGTAAGGAGTCTCATTGCAGCAGCCGTTTGAGTACTGTAATAGCTTTCATTACCGTCGCGAGTTACAAAAAATATGTTAAAAATGCAATAGATTAATTACAAAATTTTACAGTACACTCTCTAACAAAAGTTATTCAGTTAAACACACAATGATGCTAACCATGGTAGATGGAAATGTCTGCAATGCTATTACAGGCACTACTTCTACCATGAGATGTTATATCTGTGGTTTAACCTCAAAAGATTTTAATGATTTAAACATAAAAACAGTAGATAAAACGGAGGTATTTGGTTTTTTTTTTGTCTTTCTGTATTACATTTCTTCGGAGATTTCTTTCGGACCATGAGCTAGCAGCAGAAATTACAGGAGTTGATGATAACTTAATATATAGGTTAAAAGTAATCCTGGAAACCATCTCGAGTGGATTTAGAAATGCGACCAAATATGCCAAAAAAATTTTGGAAGTTTTTTGAAAAAATTTTTGACGTTTCGGATGCCATGTTGCAACCTTCTTCAGAAACAACTTCAAAGTCCGGTTTTAATTTTAAAAAACAAAAAAATGGGGGCTAACTTTCTGCACTCGAATCCAACTCGGGTTAACCAGTAATTTCCTGTCTACTTTCTTAGCTGATATCTTCCTTATTGTTAGATATAGCGAAAAACTAAATGCACCATTTGAAAGCTTAATTGTTTCTCTATCTAAAACCGTCTGTCGATAAGTTGATACTAAGATCAATAAAAAATGAAAAATACCGCTCTGTACTTAAAATAGTTCAAAATCACCAAATTTCAAGCTCTTGTGGAATTGGTATCAAACCGAATTTAAAAAAACTGTTATCACAATCAGAAAGAGCGCTCCTTCAAATATCTTAATCGGGGTTTTCGTCGATCAATATCTATTGACGTCATGCTTAAATCACCCTTAATATACATCCTTAAACGCTTCATTGCTCTTCATCTAAACAACTTTCTTATTTGATAAGGGGAAAACTTTAGAACTATATCTATCTTATCGAAAATTTTCTGCTCTGTCTAATGGTGCATAACATGTGGTGATCGCGCGTTTGCACAAGTACGTTTTTGGCCAAAAAGTACTAAATTCACGTTTTAGGCACTTTTAAACCTTGTTCGGGTCAATAACTTTCTTATATGACCAGGAGAAAACTCTGGAACTATATCAATCTTGACGAAAATTTTCTGCTCTTTCTAATGGTGTACAATACGCGGCGATCACGTTTGCACAAACACTTTTTTGGCCAAAAACTACTACCTACATTACTACTATAAGGAGCAAATACGAAACACAATTGAAAAAACAATAATGAGAAAACTCAAGAACACTGCTTGCATTGCGCAGAAAAGATACAGATATAACCTGTAAAAAGTGTGGTTAATACATCCACAGAGACTGTTGCCCAGCAAAACTTTTATTCCACAAAACAAGTCAACCATATTTTTGCGAATTATGTTCATAAATTATAAAACACAATTTAATAAAACAAACTAATAAGTTTAGCCGTCTTGAGAGACCCGAATATTTCTAGTTCTCGGTCTAGTGTTAGTTCTACTCATACGTTCTACTTATACATTTTACGCATCCTTGGACCAAAATAAATTATTGCGCCCTCATCAGTTTGGCTTGCGAAGGGGTAGGTGCACTTCTGACGAGGTAGTTAAATATGTGAATATCTGTCTTGACAGCTTTGAAAAGCGTGAATACTGTATGTCATTGTTTTTGGACTAGTCTCGTGCATTCGATACAGTTTCTCATCCCATTCTTATTGATAAACTTCGCAATGTTTATAATTTTGACGACAAAAGTGTTGCTTTAATCCAGTCTTATTTGTCCGGCAGAACACAACAGGTAAGTTGTGGTCAAGTGACATCGCAAAGAGTGACTTTGACTAGGGGTGTTCCAGACGGTTCTATACTTGGTCCTCTTTGATTTTTGATGTTTTTCAATGGTTTTCCGTAATATTTTAGGAATATTGACTGTTTATTATATGCTCACGATCACACTTTGATTATCCGAAGCAATGAAGCTGAAGAGGTCATTCAAAGATCAGAATTGGTTCTAGATAGAGCACGTAAATGGTGCATCGCGAATGAGTTGTGTTTGAATGATGGGAAAACAGTCAGAATGATTTTAAGTCAGAGAAATTTTAATTTTACTAATTTTGGTAACCCGTCGTTTGGAAAATTCTTGGGAGTTCACATAACCACTCCAATATTGAAGTTCGATCATCATGTTGACGCTATAAGTAAGAAAATTTCAAAAAACATCTTTTTGCTACGAAACCTTATTGTCAAGGTGGAACTAGAAGTAGTAAAAGCCGCTTACTTCGCG